AGTTCAGCGCTAAGAAACCCTGCATAGAGGTGGTGGGTGAGGAAACAATCCAACCAAAGGGATGACAGTTAGAATCAAAATCACTGGTCCTCTGTGGTCAAATCTAGAGAGGTCCAGAGAGAGAGAGCACCAAACAGTCTCAGACTCTGAAAAAGGGCATGGCCTCACACCAGAATTTTGATGTGTCTGAGGTTGGAAAGGGCTTCTGGTAACACGGCTCATTCACCTGGACTGCTAGAGCCGCACATTGCAAGGGCTGAGAGTGGCCATGTTTAGTCTAGCAAGTCTTGAGAGCAGCTCAGAACCATGGCAGCTGGCCACCTGCTGAGCTGCCCCTTCCACCACCACGTCAAGCCTTGTGGAAGCCAGGAGTGATCTCAGGGTGAGCTCTGAGAGATCCTCAAAAGTTGGCCTGCTTCAAAGCATTCCTTAGAGACTTTCTATGATCAAACTGCATTTAGGTATGCATTGTGTTACTGGAGAGATGTGTCACAGTCATTAACTGATCATTTAACTGCAAATCTATCCATTCTTAAAATACACCTAGCACGGCTCCTCAATGCCATGTATAAAGTCCTCAGTATTTAGCTTGGTAAAGGATGCCCATCCGCCTGCTCTGCGGCTGTCTCTCTCCCCTCTCCCCCAACCTCACACCCCTCATGCTCCATCCACACGCAGCTACATCCAATACCAAATGCCATTTATGTCCTTCCTGCTCTTCCTCCTTCCTCTGCTCCCTGTGCTCTTCCCTACCTTGTAGACTCGCAAACATCTCATCTCCTAAGATTCAGCCTTGCTCACCCTTGTCAACCTTTCCCTAAGCATACTACAGGCAGGAATACCACTCTCTCGGTCACCCTAGTGCCCATACATACTTCTCTTAGACCACTTAGAATACTCTATAACACCCGTGTCCATTTCCTGTCTCTGTATTCCCTGCTGGACCATAAACTCCTAAGGGCTGGGTCTGTATGAAACAGATGTTTGTGTCTGGCTCAGAGCAGTTGATTTAAAATATTTGTTGAATGGAGGCATGTGTGAATGGATAAGGACCAAGGTGTCTCTGTTAATCTTCTGGGTTCTGGTAATACAGGGATGAAGGCCATCTCCCTGCCCTCCAAGAGCTCACTGCAGATGACAGAAAATGAGTACCAAAGGACAATGAGATAGAATAAGTCAGACCACAGCATGTGAGCCCAGCCATGGGCATGTGAGCTCAGCTGAGGGTCACCCATTCTGGTGGAGAAAAGAAGCGTGTGCTCAAGGATACTTCCTACAGGAGTCAACACCTGATCTGGATCTGGATCCTGTTGGACCAGGGGAGTCAGCCACAGAGGAAGGGGAGGGAGCGGCACGTTAGGCAGAGGGATGAGCAGGTCCCAAGCAATGAAGGTGTGAGTAGCAGCAGTGTGGAAATGGCTCAGACTCCACCGAGCTGAAATAAAAGGAGAAATGTGGGGGAAAGGCAGCAACACAGATAAAGAGGCAAGGGAGGACCCATCACGCAGGGCCACAACCCCACCAGGGAACCTGGAGTTTTTCCTAAAAAAAAAAAAAAAAAAAAAAAAATGGAACGCTTCTAAGAAAAAGAGAGAACATGGTAGGATTTGCAAATATAGAGATGCCCCAGGAGCAGTGTGGGGCCAGGCCGTGAGGCCAAGATGGAGATTCTAACAAAATCTAGCAGAGACCTGATGAGGGCGGGTTGAAGGCAGGGCAGTCAGATTGAGAAGGGTGTTCAGAGCTGAGGGGTCCAAGGGAGGCCAAATTGTTAGAGTCTGGTCACTCTGTATAAAGAAAGCGGGGGCAGGGGGGAGGTGGGCCTACAGATGCCACCCCCCCAGGTCAAAAGGGCAGATGCTGGTGTTCATGGGAGCATGCATACCTCTGGAAGAGAGGAGAGTGCCTTGGGTTTTGTTCATACTGAGGCTAACACACCTCAGGAACCCCCAGAGGGGTCTTCTCAGTAGGCAACGCGCTGTCCATTCCTGAGGCTTAGGAGAGAAGTCTAGACAAGAAAAATAGACGTGGTACTCTTCAGCAACCAGGTGCTAGCTGGAGCTACGTGGGCAGATGAAATCTTTCAAGGAGGGTGTGTGCCTAGTGAGAAGAGGATCAAGCCCCAGGACATACCACACATGTGGGCAAAATTCTCAAGAAAGAGTCTGAGACAGAATACCCAGAGATACAGGAAGAATAAAAAAAAAAAAAAAAAAAAAGCCACAAATGACCTTTTGAAGAAGAGAGCTTCAAGAGGGGACAGTGACCTGCGTGATCAAGTCCTGCAAAGTGGCAAGTCAGGAAAAAAGCCTGAAACATGTTCATGTGTGTCCAAATTTTCCCAGCCCTCGTCAGCCTGTAGGTCCATACAGGGTCACATGAATAGTATCAACCACCATTTCACCCACATCGCTGGCTTGCTGCCAACCATCTGCAGAGCCGGACCGCCACTCCCTGAAGAGAAGTCCTCCGTCTCCCATTATTTCTCTGAGTGCCTGGGAGGGCAGTGCACAGGCCCAAGAAGAGTGCCCGAGTGCTCCTCCACACACACTGGCATCTGATGTTCACAGCACTTTGGGACAGGGCCTCCCCACAGCCCCCCTGAGATGCCCCCGAGGTTAATGGGTTCCATCTCTTGAAATGCCAAAGCAACACACCATGATGCTGAAGCAGCAGAGTATTCTACACTCTGACTTCTTCCCTGAGCTGAAGCCACAGCATTTTCTGAGAAATGAAGAGGACACCCCGTTTGTCATCTGTTTGTGCTCCATGTCTCACAGAGTTCCTCCTGAAAATGCCTTCTTCAGCCATGTGGCCATCTGTCTTAAGGCCCCAAACACCAGTCCCTGGGGCTGAGCTGTGGAGCAGACTACAGAGTCTCCCCGTATCCCAGGCTCTGCCCCAGGGACCCAAACCCCCAGGGGACTCTGTGTACACAGATCTTTGGTGAAGTTCACCCCATCAGTTTACCAAAAACTCCACATCCACACTTGTGAATTAGTCTGTCAGGAAACCTGGCCACACAATGACTTAGCAAAGGAGTTGCAGCAGAACAGCTGATAAGGAGGTCAGATTGCAATGAGGTGAGGAAAGAGTGGGAGGTGGGGAACTACAGATAGCAAACAGAACGGCAAGTTTCCTGACATTTGACTGTGGGGAAAGGTCGAAGGAGATGAAAGGTGGTGGTGGTTTTCAACCAGGAGGGACTAGAACAGAGTTGCATGCTGGCCAAAAAGAGCCGCAGAGAACAGGCGACCCCCAGACACCGGGAGGACAATGGCTCTGAGGGAATAGCCAGGTACAAGGCCTGCCGATGAATCTGGGGCCCAGGGAAGAGAAGGTGGCACCCCTGAGGTCCCTGAAGAGACCCTGGGCCCCTGGGAGGAGCCTGGCCACATGAGCGCCCACAAAAGGAAGGAAGTGAGTGGAAGAGGAGAGAGAATCTGCCCTGTGCTTAGGCAGGAGGAAAGTGAAGCCAGGGGCTGGGCAGGACAAGCAGCCTCAGCCCCCCCCCCCCCCCCCCCCCCCCCCCCCGCCCCTAAGTACATTCCTCTTGTTGACAGAGATCTCAGTAGCTCCCTCTCTGTGACTCAAAATCTGGGTTTCTCATTTTGCCATTTAATTTTAGTAATAAAAAGAGCTGCTTCTGGGAGTCCATCTTCTTCCCTCTGTCAATTACATGATGCCGGGGACTCCACAGACATGCTGATCATGGAAGGGTCCCTCGCTGGCCCCAGCCCCACCCCTCCTGATGGAGTTTCAGTGTAAAACTTCCTGAAGAAAAGAACAAAATTTTACTTTAAAAAAAAGTGGTGTTTCCCGGATTGATTGATTTAACTTACTGCACACAGAGGGGTCAGAACTGAACCTAGAACAGAAGACTCTGCTCCCCCCACACCAGGGACTGTGGGCTGGCCAAGCAAGGGACAACATCACAGTTTCCGGTGCTACAGCCCCTGCTTGAGGTGAGCGTGGTAGCCCAGTTATTACACCACTTCATTCCCAAACACTGAAAACAAAGGGGCACAAACGGAGGGTTAAACAGAGAAAAATACCCTCCTTGAACCTGCAGTTTGAAATCTGGGTGTGTGCTGGAATTTGCTTTCATGGTAAACTGATGTTCAAGGGTCCCAAAGTCAAATGCTTATGGCCATAAAGAAGCAGATGCCTCCAAGACAGGAGCTAGCATGTGGCCTGTAGCAAAAGGGAGTCACTGTCCGCCCTGCTGAGAGGGACAACAGCTCCTCAGCCCCAGCTGCTGCCACAAATCCATGCGACCAGACTTTTCAGAGAGAGGTTGCAAAACCAGATTCTTCTGTGAAATCTCCGGATTTTTAAGGGTTGGGAACTAATTCCATTAAAGTAATCACAACCGCAAACACCCATCAACCGGGTCAAGTCAAATGCCCTCAGAGCCACGTCAAGATTGGATGCGTAGTCCTAATTTCAGTTTCATTTCCTCTACGGTGATTTCCATGTTTCATGAGTGATTCTGTTTCTGCGTGAGTGTTGGTGGCTCTGAGAGGTAAAACAAAGATTGGACTCCTAAGAAGTCACTGCTGGCTCAGCACCCTCCCCGGTGCTGGTCTGCATCCTTGATGCTTCCCCAATTTGACTCTGGTCTCTGCCAAAGGGCAGGCGCTCCTGAAAAAGCTGAGGACAACACCGACACCCTGGATGTAGCTATTGATAAAATACAAGTATGCAGGAGCGCCTGGGTGGCTCAGTCGTTAAGCATCTGCCTCCAGCTCAGGTCATGATTCCAGGGTCCTGGGATCGAGCCCCGCATCGGGCTCCCTGCTCCGCGGGAAGCCTGCTTCTCCCTCTCCCACTCCCCCTGCTTGTGTTCCCTCTCTCACTGTGTCTCCCTCTGTCAAATAAATAAATAAAATCTTAAAAAAAAAAAAAGGAAATAGAAGTATGCAGTCCTTGGCGTCTCTAGCTGGTGACTCATACCAGACTGAAATGACATTGGAGCTGTCTCTTTAAAACTCGAGCATGCTACCAGGCAAACTCCTCCTCCGGGGAGGTTCCTTTAACTGAGAGCCAGCTGGCCTGGCCATCGGTTTACTCCGGAGCAATACCGGCAATTGAGGATTCCTCCCCAGGAGGCAGCTGCCTGTCAGGATGGCTCAAGAGTTTGTGAACAGCAAAATCCAGCCCAGGAAGGTGGTTGTGTTCATCAAGCCCAACTGCCCCTACTGCAGAAGGACCCAAGAGCTCCTCAGCGAACTGCCCTTCAAACAAGGGGTTTTGGAGTTTGTCGATATCACGGCCACCAGTGACACAAGCAAGATTCAAGATTACCTGGAAACGCTCACAGGAGCCAGAACGGTGAGTTCTCAAAGGCTGGGCAAAAGGTTCTCAGATTCTCTTTTCTTGTGGGGGCTGTGCAGGGGATCCGCCTGTCCTTTCTCTAGGACACCGCTAGGGCTCCGGCACTCAAGGCGCCGCCGGAGGGCTCTGCGGGATGGGGGAGGGCGACGAAGAGAAGACACCGCTCCAGGGAACAGGCTGCAGGGCTGCAGCCAGAGGTCCTCGCGGACCCTGTGCCCGTGCGTCCGGGTCAGCGGGCCCAGCCGCTGTCCCAGGGTCGGTGAGCTATCTGGAGTCTTTGTTTCAAGCACTGCCGGGAAGTGACAGTTTGCAGCTTGCAGGGCTGGGGTTGGAAGGTGGGGTGCAGGGGCCAGGGTGACCTGTGCGTTTCTGTTACTGAATGTGGGAATCGTATGCACTCTTTCTTCCGTGTTCACTTGGCCAAGCAGGATTTGCTGTCCTTCAATCTTTTCTAGAAGCTTTCTTTAACCATAAACCCAATTAGCCCATCCTTCCCTATCTCACCTAACTCCTCCCACTGGAAGAATCTAAAGGCTCATGATTTGCCCCTTCTTCTCTGAGGTGCTTCCAGGTCTGTGCTAGTAGGGAGTTCAGGGGCCAGAGTTCCAGCCTGGCTCTCACAATGGCTTGCAGTATGATCCTAGGCAAGACACCACCTCGGGGATCCTCTAGGACCTCCCCGGCTGCAAGACCAGACCAGAGCAAGGGACCACCAAGTCCCCTTTGCTCTCAATAGACCATGAGCCCCTCTAAGAACTACTTTTCTCTACCTAAAAAGGCTTCCTCTGCCTCAGCACCCCTGGCTTCTGGCGGGATGGCCAGGCAGCCAGCTTGCCTGAGTCTGTTCTGGCGCTGGGTGGGGTAGGGGCTGGCCCACCAGCTCACCCCAGTCCCCCTCAGGAGGCACATTCTCGGACATAGTGTTTGCAGAAGCACATATCCTGCCTCCGTTTGAGTTTGACTCACGGGCTTTTGTCTAGGTTCTGAGCATAAAGCACTGGAGGCTGCTTCTCCTTGCCTCTCCAGTCAGAGACCCGTATTTTGGCACAGAGGGGGGCTGAGCCTGTTACCCTCTGGCCTCCAGCGCCCCAGCTGTGAGCTGAGGACTCCTGTGTCTGAGAGGGAGGTCCTGCAGCGGAGGACACAGTGGTCAGAGACTCCTGCTGCCCGGGGCCTGAGAGCCAAAGGGCAGGACAGTCCCTGCCAAGGACCCTGCTATGACAGGTGGATCCCTCTCAGCCAGTGGCTCCCAAACCTTCCTGCACATTGGCATCACACGGGGAGCTTTTTTTAAAAAATCTGGATGCCCAAGGCATTCTCCATATCAGTTAAGTCATTTATCGGAGGTGGGAGCCAGGCGTCAGTAGTTTTAAAGACCCCCAGATCAAAGGGTACAAATTCTCAGTCCTAAGATGGGGAAGTTCTGAGGATCTAGGGGACAGCAAGATGACTGTAGTTAATAATACTGCATTGTATGCTTGAGGTTTGCTCTGGAGGAGGTCTTAAGTGTCCTCACCACTCATAGACAAAAGTTAACTATGTAAGGTGATGGACATGTTAATTAACCTGATTGTGGTGATCATTTCAAAATGTGTATGTATATCAAATCATAATATTGTAGATCCTCCATATATATAAATTTATTTGTCTATACCTCAATAAGGCTGGGAAAAAAAGTTTATTTCCTACCAAAAAAAAAAAAAAAGATCCCCAGGTAATTCAACGTGCAACAAATTTTGAGAGCTCCATGTCAGCCTGGCAGCCTCTCTTCTTTAGCTGGAGACACCTCTTCATGCATTCATTCGACACATTTTTTCCCCCTATCTCTTCATAAAGCGGCAATTTTTTAAGTTTGTTTTTGAATTCTTAAAAAGACCTTTCACAGGTTCTTGAGCCCTGAATGCATTCCTCCAAGGGGAAGAACAGATCCTTTTACGGGGCTGCCTTCAGGTTCCCTTCCAAGGAAGGGTTTACTTCTGAAGAGATGAGAGATTTGGAAGTCATTGCTCTTATTTACCCTGTAATGACCTATGGTGATGGGCACATAGCAGGAGCCCAGCAGGACCTGACTGGTTCTAGAAACTTGTGTCTTCAATCAGGCCGTGTACTTGGAGAAACTGTTTGGGTTTTGCTATGGCAAAAACTCTTCGATCAGTACTTCATTTATTCTTTCACTCATGCTCTTCCTTTATGTAGATCCAAGTTTCTGACCCTTATCATTTTCCTTCTCTCTAAAGAACTTCTTTGAACATTTCCTGCAAGGCAGCTCTGTTGGCAACAAATTTCCTCAAGTTTTGCTTGTGTGAGAAAGTAATTTCTCCTTCACTTTTGAAGGATAATTTTTTTGGGTGCAGCAATTTTTTGAAGCACCTACTACATATCAAGGCACTTTTAACCGCCATGAACAGAACAAAAACTGCTGCCTTTGTGGAACTTACATTCTAGTAAACACAGTAAGTAAAACAGTTTGTTGGAAGGTGGTCAGTAATAAGTGCTGTAGAGAAAAACTAGGTAGGAAAGGGAGGTGGACAGTAGGCAGCAAGGTCCAGTTTTAAAGGAAGCCATCAGAGCCTCACTGATTTTAGATCTCTAAAGGAGGTGAGAGAGCAATGCAGGCAGAAATTTAGCGGTAGAAATGTTCCAGGCAGTGGGAACAGTGAGCGCAGAGGTCCTGTGGTAGAAGCACGTGTGGCAAGGAGGCCTGTGTGGCTGGAACATCGTGAATTAGTAGGAAAGTAGGAGGAGATGAGGTTGAAGAGGTAATGGGGTAAACCTGGGAAGGCTTTTCAAGCTGTTATAAGGACTGTGGCTTGTGAAGTGCAGTGAGATTCCACTGAAGAGTCTGGAGCAGGGGAGTAACCCAAACTGACTGAGTTTTTGGAAAGGGTGGTGGCTGTGGGGATAAGTGAGTGTAGGAAGGCCAGCCTGAGGGCTGAAGCTGGGAGACATCTGGAGGCTACAGCAGTTACTCAGATGAAAAATGATGGTGGTCTGTATGAAGCTGCCTAACTGGGGCCGGGGCCAGAGAAAAGTACACCAGGACAGTCCAAGTCCCACTATCATAAAGCTTGCTTTTACGATGGCAGTTCTCTTTCTGCTTCTTGACAGTTAGAGACTCTCAGGTTCCTGGAAGAGGGTGCTGGGGCCAGGAGGGGAGGACACAGAGCATGTGTTCCTTCATCCTTCCTCAGCAGAATCAACTGATAGCCGCTGGGTCACTGCAGCTCCCCACACTGCCCTGGGGGGCCTGTAGTCCCACCCCTTTTGGAGGTTCCAGTAACCACTCCGCTGTAAGTGGTTTGGCTGTTGCCTAGCCTAGAGGGTGGGCGTAAGGGCAGAGGGGCCTTTCAGCTTTCAGGCAAACCAGCCCCTTTGCCAGGTGGGGTCTAAGGAGAGACTCCTTGCTCCTCGGGGCACTCTCTCCAACTAATTCAAACCCTCTCAGCCAACACCCCGGTCAAAGGTGGGGATGTGGCAAAAGCAGTAGGAGCCATGACCATTGCTCAGTTCTCTTTGAAAATAGAGACGGTCAAGAGTGAATATATCTCCTCCTTGTTTAAAGCTCAGGTGATTTCGGGGCACCTGGGTGGCTCAGTCGGTTAAGCATCTGACTCTTGGTTTCAGCTCAGGTCAAGATCTCAGGGTCATGAGATCCAGCCCTGCTCAAGCTCCGTGCTCAGCAGAGAGTCTGCTTGAGATTCTTTGCCCCTTCCTCTCCCTCCCCCCTGTCCCTCCCCCCACTTATGTGTTCGCTCTCGCTGTCAGATAAATAAATAAGTAAATCTCAGATGATTTCTATTTCATTAGGCAGTGCCTTTAACAGAAGGAGCTTTGCAGTATAATTATACTAAAATTACACTGGGATTCGGTTCTAGTTACTGCTACACTGACCACAGCCAAGTGTTCCTGGGTGTGATAAAAGCCAAAAGGCCCCCAATAATTTGGAGTAGTGGGAGCTTTGTTCTAAAATAATGGAAGGACCCAAGGGAAAACTTAGGTTTCCGACCTACTCTTTCCACAGCTATTCTGTCCGCTGATAAAAATAATGTTGCCCTGATGGTGTTCCCCATTTACAAAGTCCCCACACAGCCATGGGGCAAGTGGGGCAGGCAGCGCTGTCTGTGACTGAAGAGTGCATTCGTGCACTTTCTCACTGACGTGCAGTTTTGTGTGCTCTTTCCCAGTGTCCAGGCACAGGAAATAGCCATAGAAATGGGGTGCAGATTCATTTAATATCTGGATAATTAATACCTTAATTTTTAAAGCTCACTACCACCGAGAACACCTTCTTAATAAAAATGCTGTAAGAACTTACTGAAGTAATTTTGCCCTCTTTCTCATCTCTCTCATGCTCTAAAAAATTCACTTGAATCATTATGCCTTCTGAGGAAAATCAAACGCTTTGAAAATATTTTTACTGCCTTCTGTCTTTCATCTCTCCTGCCCCTTGTGGTAGGTTCTTAGGGTTCAGGAAGAGGACCTGCTTGCTTCTCAGTCAGGTGACTTGTATGGTTTGTTTCTTCATTGCCAGTCAGCTTTTCTGTACAAGTTGGCCTAGAAGTTCTAGAAGTTGTCTGGGCCACAGTGAGAGGACTTACTCCTCCCTTCGGGACTCTAAAAACACTCGGGAAGCTAGCAGCATGGAGGGAGCCTGAGCATGACCAGAGAGGATCGCATTCAGCAGGGGTAATGACTCTCAGCCGGCCTTGCCTTGGGTGACCCACACGTGCCCGAGGGTGAAACAAAGCAGCTCTTACTCCCAGAACAACAGCACTTGAACATCTGATGTTAGGCCAGGGATGAATAAAGGAGAGTCACATACCACCACCCCTTCCCCAGCTGAGGACAGAGCTCACAGCAGAGAGAGATGACAAATATACCATGAATCTAACAATCAGGGACCCGGACCTAATGCCAGTACTCTTCTAGCTGTGTTTAGAAACCAACTGCTTGAGAGACTATGGACTCTGAAAAACAAACTGAGGGTTCTAGAGGGGAGGAGTTTGGGGGGATGGGTTAGCCTGGTGATGGGTATTAAGGAGGGCACGTTCTGCATGGAGCACTGGGTGTTATACAGAAACAATGAATCATGGAACACTACATCAAAAACTAATGATGTAATGTATGGTGATTAACATAACATAATAAGATAAAATTAAAAAAAAAAAAGGGAAACCAACTCCTTCCTGGTTGTCGTGACTCAGCCTCAGGGCTCAGGTGTGGTCCCAGCTGCAAAGACACCAGAATTCAACCAGGGTGGTCTGGCTGCAGCCAATCGAAATTCTTTCCCTCAAATGTGTTTCTCAAGAATGAGATTTTTAAGTTATTTTTACAAATTAGACAATCTCACGCACTGCCCTCTCCATATGATAAATATCTTGGCTTACAAACATTCTTTGATGAATAATTTTACGCTCGTAACAAAGTTCTGACCTGAAAGAACATACATGAGGAGGTTGTAAAGTGATTCTAAAAGCTTTGGATCATGGGAAATTTTTAAAGGAAGGAAAAATGTCATTCTTTCTAACCTAGTAATGAAGCTCCTTACCTACCTTAGCTTGTTTGCTTTTTTAGGTACCTCGGGTCTTTATCGGTAAAGATTGTATAGGCGGATGCAGTGATCTGATCAATATGCATCAGAGTGGGGAACTGTCGGACCGGCTAAATCAGATTGGAGCTCTACAGTAAGTCTAGGTGAGTGAAGGGTGGGGTGCCCAGCCAGAACACTGGGAGATGCTGGAATTCTGCTGGATTTTATTATACTCCAGAGAGGCAGTTGGGTTAGAGGAAGAGTGATGCGGAGTGATTTATAGAACTGTGATGTCGTTTAGGACTTTACAGAGAGGTTGTGTGGATAGGAGGAAATCCTTTTAGTTGACCTTCATTGAACAAATATTTATTGAGCACTTACTATGTGCAGACACTGTACGAGGCACTGGGAATAGGGAGAGGAACAAAAAGATAACAGGGAACCTCTCTTCTAGAGTGGCAGCCCGACCAAAAACAAGTAAGTAAATAATTCCTGACACAAATTAATAAAATAATGTGATAGAACAAGGCAGGGGGTGGGGAGCAAATTTAGAGCTGATATGGTGAAGGAAGGTCCTTCTCAGCTGGTGGAGCTGAGACCTGGTTGACAAGAAGGAGACAGCCATGTAAAGATAAAGCTAAAGAGCTTTTTGGGCAGAGGAAATAGCAAGTACAAAGGCCCAGAGCTGACAACAAGTGTGGAACATGCAAGGAACAGAAAGCAAGCAAGAAGAGACTGGGTGAAGTGCAAGGAGAAGGAAGAGCAGCCAGAAGTACGGGCGGGGAGCCCGGGTACAGAGGCCAGGGTAAGCAGTTTGGATTCTTCTCCGTGCAATGTTGAAATCAAAGTAATTTTTGCATTACCTGTGTTCACGCTGTAAATCAATTTAATCTAATTGGATTCCCAAATGTCAAAACAAAGTTTTCTGCAGTTGTCACCCAAAGGAGATCCTTGGCTGAATGGAAAGCCATAGGGTGATGAACTCTTCAAAAAAGGAACCAGGGTACTTTTTGGGGTCTGATGAGCTCTTTTTTCCCCTCGCTCTCATTATAGTTAGCTAGTTGCCAGTAGGTCGGTTCCACTCACTGACAAGCAGAGAGACTCAGTGGGTTTTTCCAGTCAAAGGAGATTTTGACTAATGTATGTTTCTCAGACCAAAATATTTTTTGAGGGATATTTATTGCCCATTAATTAATAACTTACCCTTAAGCAATGTGTGTATGTAATTTCTGGTGCTTAACTCAAAACAGCAACAGAAGTTAAAAAAGAATTTCTGAAAAAGTATAATTGAATACCTTGAAATGAAGTAGTCAATACCATAAAGCTCCTAATCACAGTTCTTACATCATTGCAGCAAGTGAACACTAAATCTGTTTGTGGCCTCACCCCATATATCAAAGCACTCAAAACCCAATTAACTGTGGTGCCAAATATTTTCTATTCTGGAACACTTTTGAGCAATTTAGGCTTAGATTAAAAATGGAAGAAAATTAATGACTTTGTTGGGAAGATATGAAAGACCATTTCCCCAACTACCTCTGTGTCAGGGTGGGCGTTAAGAGTCCCCCTTATTCACAAGGTCTATTCGCACTGTCCTTCAGCATTCTATGATCTCAGTATTTTGCTGCCAGCTGTATCTAAAGGCCATCTGTAAGTGTGCTCAAATAGCAGGAGTAAGTATTCTGGTAATGGAAAAAAAATGAGGGGACTTTATATTTCCATGGAAATCCACTTCTTTGTATTTTGTTTGTCTGGCAGAGCAGATCCCAGGATGATATCCCACTGAGAGCTGGATGGCACTTCAATGATAACACACTTCCTGGTGGATGGATCTGCGACTAAAATCCACAGCAACTGTTTACTTAAAATTCTGAAATATATGAACAAAAAAAAAGGGGGGGATTTTTTTGGCGAAAAGAGCTTCCTCTTGTTTTGACTCAGTATTAAAAGTGGACCAACTTGCCCCAACCCACAGGTCTGAGAAGGTTGATGGATATCTTGGGTTTCTTCTCGATTGGCCCTTTGGGTTCCAAAAGACCATGACAAGTGATGGCTTAGGATTCACTCAATGACCCAAAAAGTTGTCTTTCTCTTTGGCACATGTCTGTTCCTAACTGTCCCATATGCTAGGACACCTCTACCTCTAAGCCAGTGTTTCTCAACTAAGTTTATCCCAGGCCCCCCAGGATGAATCTGTAATTGGTTTTCTGCTACTGCCTGAAAGGTACTTTGTTGAGTTTGACTTTACAGAATTTGCATTACAAAAACAATAGGTCTTTTGAATGTGCTTTTCCAAGCTACATGGGTCTCCCAGGTCATGATCCCCATCCCACCCCATCTTATCTTGAGAATCACTGCTTGGAATCAGTGTTCTTCACCTTGATAAGTCACAGATTCTCCTAGGAAGTGTTCAACAATTCCTTGAAGAGTCTTAAGGAACTAATTTGAGAAACACCACATGAAAATTTAAGCGTGGTTGGTCTTCACTTGATGCCACAGAGATCACAGCTGCTGCAATCATGGGCACCTCTGTTATGTAAGATGGTCGTCCAGGTAATCCGGAATAAGTGTGTATTAACTTGTTTAGATTATGAACAGAAGTAAAATACAACATTTAAAATGTTATCACAGAAAACTTGCAAACCCCTCCCCCAAGAATAGGTCTGTGAAAGTGGCCATATTTGAGAAACATCATTCCTAAATGATTTTTTCTCTCTCCTTTTTCCCTTCGCTCTATGAAAACTTGAGTCCCTTATTGTGAAGTTTATTCTAGAATTGGGATTTTAAATTAATTTTCTTCTGCAGTCTCTCGTGTGAATGGTTAATTGACAGTAATTTTTGTCTAATTCTTTCTATGTTCTCATTACCTTGAGGAGTAATATTAATGTGAACTACACCATATTAAAACTTTATTCATGTTTGTCTCCCACCATTATAAATAAAGGCATATGCTATTGTCCTTCACTGAGTACAAATGGTTGATGTGATTTTTAAATTTCATATTGAAATGACAAATAATTTGAATATGTCAACACTAACCTATTGAATAATGTTTAGAATCCTATAATAGTTTCATTTCACATTCTATTTTTTCCATTTCTTACCTAATACCCTTCAACCAAATGGCTGTGGATGATTGTGCAGGTTACGTCCTGCACAACACTGTGAATGCCCCCCCTGGGGGTTGTGCAGTGTGCAAAATCCCCTCCAGACCATTTGCCCATACTTGCTTTCACACTTCATCCTCAAACACCCCTTCTTCACCTTCAATTTACTTTCATATTTCTCCTCCAAGGCCTGATTTACAGATTATCTCCCCTGTACCTACCCTCTCCTCTCACTGCCTTTGGACAATAAAACGCCACTGCTGTCTCTTCTGTATCCTAAAGCATCTGCATACTGGTACTTCAAAACTCATAGGGTTGAACTGCAGTTAATCCTCTGTACTGGTCTCTTGCCAGATTCAGAAATACTCAAAGGCAAGAGTCTCGACTTAAACTTCATTGTATGCCCAGTTTCTAGCACAGATTTTTTTTTTATCAAAGCAATACATGCATGAGATTAAAAATGTCAAACAATAGTGAAAGTTCTTCCTATTCCACCCATCTGCAAACCCTGTTTTGACCACACATTTATCAGTTTCATTTAAGCCTCTTAAGAAATGTAAAATAGGGGCACCTGGGTGGCTCAGTTGGTTAAGCGACTGCCTTCGGCTCAGTTCATGATCCTGGAGTCTTGGGACTGAGTCCCACATCAGGCTCCCGGCTCAGCGGGGAGCCTGCTTCTCCCACTGACCCTCTCCCCTCTAATGCTATTTATCTCTCGCTTGCTCTCTAATAAATAAATAAAATCTTAAAAAAAAAAAAAAAGAAATGTAATATAGGTGCCTGAGTGGCTCAGTCGGTTGAGTGTCTGCCTTCCGCTCAGGTCATGATCCCACAGTCCTGGGATCGAGCCCCGCATCGGGCTCCCTGCTCAGCGGGGAGCCTGCTTCTCCCTCTCCCTCTGCCCCTTCCCCCAACTTGTGTTCTCACTCACTCTGCACTCTCTCTCAAATGAATAAATAATCTTAAAAAAAATGTTAAGATCTATTAGACCTATATAAGAGTGTATAGAATGCATAGTTCTGTGTAAATGACCAGCCATATATCTGCCTCCTCGGTTAAGAAATGAAACCCCTCTCTAACAGAGCCCTTCTAAGGTACTGCTAAAGCACCAGAGAGGCCCATGTGCCCCTTCCCAACATATCCCCTTCCTCCCTCCACAGAAGTAACCACTAGCTCATTTTTGTTGTAATCATTCTGATGCTTCTCTATAGCCTTACTCCCTAAATCTCCCTAAGCAACACATTTTAGTTTTGGAAAAGCAATAACAAACACCAACCCAGCTGTGTAAGGCAAGGGCAATATTATCACCATCAGGTGAATGGCCCCAGGAGAAGATAAGCTGAACAGAGGCTCAGAGTCTTCCACTGGCTTCGGTTTCCCTGGGGGTTTACCAGAGGGGTGGCCCTGAATGAGTCCTTGGGCAGCCCAGGTATCCCCTGGTGGGAAACCTAGTGTGGGAACAAGTCCTGGGCATCCCCCAGAAAGAGAGTCCATGGACGTGGGCTGCTATGCATTTTCTCCGTCTGCAGCCGCCCTCCAGCTATCAGCAGCGGGTCAAAGCGCAGCACTTGAGCGGCAATGTGACACGCCTGGACCCCTCAGCTAGCGCAACGTGTGGTACGAAGAATGGAAATGTCATCAGCACAGGGCAAGCTAAGTACAGGTAAGGATCTGCTTCGGGCTCATCTGGGCACTCTCTGCTCAAATTAGAAAAAAAAAAAAAAAGATGCAAACTAGAGAGCCATCAACGGCTGCAGTCTGGGCTGGTTGCCCTCTATGTCCGGGCATGGCTCTCTGCCTGAGAGCTCTCTTCACTGCCATTCTGAGTACTCTAGTTCTCTCCTGGGCTGGATCTCCTATTTCCCTCTGTCAGTATACATTTGTTACAGCTCAACTGCTTTAACAAAGGCATACTCTCTCTCCGGACAGTCCAGAGGCAGGCAGGAGGCTTTGCTCCACGAAGTCACAGTCAACCCAAAGGATGTACGCACCACTTCCACTCATGCCCCATTGGCCAGAACTGGGTCTATGGCCCCAGTTAGCTGCTGTCCCCACTGGGAAACCCCTTGCCCAGCTAAACTCTGAGAGGTCTACACCAAAAGAAAGAAGGAAAGTTGGCAGATTGTGTCTTTCTCTTTTTAAGTCTTCTTTTTTATTTTGGAAGACCTATATCCTCCACGGTTTTTAAGAAAGAGCATGGAAGGTAAATTTTTTGAAACGCTGCTTGTCTAAAAATGCTTTTATTGTACCTCCTATTTGACTGATAGTTCACCTGACTATAGCTTCTAGTTGGAAGTCGTTTTCCTGCAGAAGTTTGGAGACACGGCTCATGGTCTACTGTTTGCAGCGCTGCTGCTAAGTCTGAAGCCATTCTCATTCTTGGTCTTTTGTAGATGACCTGTTTGGTCTTCTTATTATTTTTATACTCCAGAAGCATATAAAATCTTCCCTTTAAGCCCCATGTTCTGAAATATCATGGTGATATGCAGTGGTGAGAGTCTATTTATTTTCATACATTTTGGGGAGTACATGGAGGCTTGGAGGGTCCATAGGCAGTTTTATTGAATTATTTGATACTTTCCTCCCTTCCATTTTCTCTGTGTTCTCCGTGTGGAACTCCTAGTAGTCAAACATTGGCTTTCCTGGACTTGTCCTTTAATTCTTGTTCTATTTTTCTCTTATTTTTTTCCCTGAGGGATCTACTCATCTTTATCTTATTTTTCTAGTGAGTTTTTAATTTCTGACATCAGGTTCTTAGTTGCCAACAGCTCTTCAGTATTATTTGAATGTCCCTTTTTTATAAGATTGTTTTTGTTTCATGAATGCAGTATCTTATCTCCCTGAGGTTATTGTGATTTATTAAAACTTCTTTACTGAATTTTTTCCAACTGTGATTTGTTTTATTTCTCAGAGTTCTTTCTTGTTCTTAGTTGTTGTTGTTTTTTTCTTTTTCCTCTTGTTCTTGTATTATGAATGCAAACACATTTTTTTTTTAATCTCTCAAAGATACTAATTATACTTGGGGCTTTTCTAAAAGCTTTCTTCTGATTCCTACATTCTTTCTTTTCCCACTGAGTCCCTATTTTCTATTTCTGCTTTATATTTGAACCATTCAATGTTCTGCCCTGAACATTTGAGATCTGGCTATCTGCACCTATTTAAGAGTGAGGCACCAAAAACTGGTTAGAAGATCTGTGTGCATGGATTGGGTTCATCCACTGGTGACCTTCACCAGTCTTTGTGCAAATGTTACTTTCTCAACAAGGTCTCCCACATTAAACTCTATTTAAAGTTTCACCTAAAAATTCCCTCTCCCTCTTCCTTGTTTTATTTTTCTTTATAGCATTCATTACCTAATATAGCATGCAGTTTATTTTGTTTGCTGTCTGTCTTCACTAAAATGTAAGCCTCTTGAGGCCAGGAATCTGTGTCTGTTTATTTACTGCTCTATCTGCAGCATTGAGAAGACTGGTTGCCCATAGTAGGCATTTGATAAATATCTGTTAGATGTTTGGATGGATGGATGAATGAATGATCAGGTGAGGATCCCCCAATGGTTAGTTCTGGATGTTTTTCTTTTAAGCCATTGGGTTTCCCCACTTTCACAGCTAAGGGGTTGGGTCTGGGTGCCAGGTTCTGGCTGCCAAGCAGGGGAAAGGGATTTGGCAGCCCCCAGGCCAGTGTGCAGTCTCTCCCGTAATCTCCTGTTACCCATCAGCTCCTTGCTGAGTAATTCTGTGTGATATGCAGGAATAAAAAGGAATATCATCTGAAGGGCACCAGAGGTTGGCACAAGGGGTTGGCAGAGAGAGCAACAAGAATAACCAGACAAACAATTCAGAGCCAAAGCTCTACTCCTGTTTACTTTAAAAAGAAAGTGATTCAGTCTCCTGCACATGTCCCATTTTAATAACGGCTGTAGATCTGCTGCTTCCAGCCTGGCCCTTGGAATGGGACAGCCGTTCCAAGTTAAAGGCTGTCCAAAGACGGCCCTTAAGGGGAAATAATACCTAGGGTGATAAATGGGTCTGTGTGGCCCAGATCACACTATTTATATCCCCAGTGAATATTATTAGGCCGTTATCTTAACATTTGGTTGTAAGAGAAAGCCACGCTCCCTAACTCACTGTACCACAGTTGTTGTTAGCAGGTTCGGGGAAATATGTTAAAGAACCGGCCTCCTGAAATATTTTAAGTCAAATTTCTTTCTTATATTAATAGCAGTCTTTTCTTATTAAATACATTCAACATTTGAATGGGTAAAATTTACTCTTACGAATTAATGGAAGAGAATTCTAGCCTGGTCCATTTAAACACTGGTGATATTTAAACACATTACACACAGATTTATATTTGCTGTCCCCAGGTGACTTCTGGTGAGCTGTGCAAAGCTGAAGGGGAGAAGAGAGGAAGGGGAATTAGGAGAGCCAATGAAAGTACAGAACGAACTTTGTGTCACCTTTCTGGGGTTGCACCCGGCACAACTGGGGTTTGGTTCTTTCGGGCTCTTCCTGCCCAGTCAAGGTCCTCCCTCCTTGCCAATAGGACTGGAGCCTCTGGGTGCCCACGGCCGAGCTTTCTCAGGAAAGAGCAAAACCACTGCCTTCTCGATTTTCTCTTGGGTGCCTTGTGAAACTTGGCATACTTTATAAGTAAAATTACAGGTTGTTTTTAAGATGGGGATTTTCTGTGGCCTTTCCTTATTATTCTTTCAAGTCATCCTGAGGATCAGGTATGAATGTTCTTTAACACAATCTGCCCTGACTTCTAACCAAAGGTGCCGAACAGGGACCAAAGGATCTGCTCTGGGAATGAAGAGCCGACAACTCCCGGGAAGTCAGAGAATTCAGCCGGAAGCTGTGGCCACGAGGACTGTCCCCTCGCATCTAGGATGCAACCCCCATGTGTGGCAAGAGCTGACTCGGACTGCCTTGAACCAGCCACTTGCTTGGAAGATGCCACTCGCAAACCCAGTCACTGGATGACTGGAGAGTGCCACAGAGCGCAAGGGAAGAAAAGGGTGGATTACGGGCTGCCTCCCAAAAGGGCAGAATGTGGGTATAGCCTGAGACAGACAAAATGCACACTAACCAGAAAGGAGCTGTGCTTCTTTCCCCAACCCAGGAAACCTGAGGCAGGCAGAACCGCTGGAGGGGATAAATGTGGCTCTGGGCCACTTCTGAGGACAACTTACCCCACCCAGGTATGGCCCAATGGCTGACAGACTGTCCCTAATACAACCAGAAAAATTCCCCTTGTCCAAATGAAGGATGGAGCAACGAAAGCAGAGTGCCCCTTCAAACACACCCTGAGCTGGCAAGAGAAGAGAAATCCCCCTTTATAGGAATTTGAGGAGTGAGGGATATGTGTTCCCCACTAATGAGATCATCTTCAGCATCTTCTCTCCACTGGTTCTTCTCTGACTTCCGGAGAGTGGGCCCTGTGAGCTGTAGAGCCCTGGTATGGTCTCAGGGCTATTGAGAGGGTCCGAGAATATACACAGATATTCTCATTTTCCACAGGTATATATAAAGAGGTGCCTTTCCATGTATCTTTTACTGCATCTGTTTTTTTCTAATATTTCAATAAAGGTGAACAATTGGTTTATCCAGTTAGAAGTTTTTCTTGGTTTATTTTCTTGTATTGCAGCCACAGGGGCATATATATATGAAATATATATATATTGAAATATATATATTTCATATATATATGAAAATATAAATTCATTTAAAGAATCACTGCATGTACATAAAATTATTCAAAATACTTAGTTTACTTACTTAATTAATTTATATTATTATTTTTCTACGTGGGTCTTGAACTCACAACCCTGAGATGGAGACATGAGTTGAGATCAAGAGTCAGACACTCGATAGGTTGAGCCACCAGGCGCCCCAATACTTAACTTACTCTTAAAAAAAAAGCATCCCAGCATTTACAGTAGCTTTTGACCATTACTGTTTTCTCAGTCAATGGTTAAAGCACAACCACTACATGTGGAAAGGCCGTGGTCTGCCCCATCTTTTAATGCTGAAAACATGGGGAGGGGGGTGGTCCACAAGTTCAGAAATATTAGAAACTCTTGCCCTGTAGTAAAGAGATGGCTAACACCACTGGTCCTCAGTCTTTCTACTTAGATAGATCAGAATCTAGAAAATAGCTACAGTGTAAAAGTAATATCAGGTAATGGTTAACTCACCCAAAAGTCAGTATATAATGAATTTTCTCCCGTTTTCCTAGGTGTTTTTGAAGGGCTACAGGATCTACCCATTAGCTGAAATAGAATGTAAATGTCTGCATGCTATGACAAAAGGAGCTTAGAAAGACCCAGCTGCTCTCACCAGGTGCCAAGCTCATTCTAAGTTTTGAATACGTTTCACTCATGTGATCCTCACAGCAGCCCTATAAGCCAAATACTATCACCATCATTCTCCATCCTAAAGATGTAAAACAGCGGGACACAGCGAGGTTAAGTAAGTTGCCCAGGGTCTCTCAGCAAAGCCAGGATTTGAGCCCAGCCGGCTTCCAGGGGCACATAATGATGACCATGCTGCCCTTCACTGGGCCTTTTATTGTGAGGAAGACCTACCTGTGTCTCCTGGTCCAAAGGAAGGGTTGAAGGGCCTTCGCAGGCCTCTGGGCACTGAGCCATAAGACATGCTCTGATTCTTCTCCATCATGGACTGTCTCTTAGCTCAGAGTTTCCCAGAGCGGGTTCTTAAGAGCACTGGCTCCATGCCACATTACTAAATGTTATATGACAAAAGGGGTTTGATGGTCAAATGAGTTTGGGAGGGGTTGGGCTATGCTACGTGCTGGCTGTGGGACTTGCACTCATTTTGAGAGTCTAAGTGTTTTATCTGACAGACTTTAAAAACATGCACTTGAGGACCTCCAGTGTCCAATTCAGTATGTACGAAGCTTGGAAGTTGACCATCTCAACAGACTGTAGAATGCTGAATAAACTGAAACATTAACAGTGTTCCTTAGATCCATAAGAAGAACGAAGTCACAGGGTAAACCACTGCCCCCCAAATTGGAAAGGCCGACGGGCCGATACAGAGAATCACAAGTGACCAGAGCCGAGAGCTCCATGAGAATTAGAGCCGGGAGAGGGAAACCTGAACTGTAGCTGGGGAATTGCTGGAAGCTCAGTGTGGACTACAGGGGACCCCGTCATCAGGGGGCCCCCACACTTGGGCAAGGTTTACTTCCTGGTGTTCTAACAAGGATCTCACAGTGAATACTGGAGAAAAGTCCTCTTGTGCTTCCAGCAGGGGAAGGAGGGGGGAAACAACTCTGAAATATGCCAGAACTCTCTGTTTATCTTAACAAGGTCTATTCTCAGGAGTGAACTCTAACTGGGGCCTAAGCTGCTGGGCTTTTATCAGAAATGAACTGACCTGGAGGGAGGGGAAAGCCCAATTTTGACTTCCATAATCTTCCACAAGGGAAAACGGAAATACCCAACTCAATTCTAGCCATCCTATTGTGCTTGGCTGCGGCAGGGGTGGGGGGGGGGCGCGGGTGACATGTGAAGCTTACAGTCCAGAAGCACAAGCTCACTAAAACCTAACATCTACTCAAGGGACTATGGAAGGCTTCCCTCCCTCCACACATCCTACTACCACATTACTGAAGTCTTGTCTGTCACAGTTACCCAGTACATGGTGAAAAAACGATAAGGCATATTAAAAAGCAAAAAACACAATTGGAAGAGAGAGAAAGCATCAGAACCAGATATAGATAGGGCAGGGATGTTGGGATTATCAGACTGGGAATTTAAAACAACTATGATTAATATGCTAAGGTTTTTAGTGGATAAAATAGCACACAAGAACAAATGGGCAATGTACACAGAGCGTTGCAAATTCCATGAAAGAACCAAAAAGAAATGCTAGAGATCAAAAATACCATAACAAAAATAAAGAATGAGATGGGCTCATTAGTAGACTGACGTGTGCTACGGTCTAAATGCCGCCCCCCTACCCCAAATTCACAGGTAGGAATTCTTATGCCCAGTGTGAAGGTGTGAGAAAGTGTGGCTTTTCAGAAGTGATTAGGTCATTAGAATAGAGTCCTCCTGAATGGGATTAGTGCTGCTCTTATAAAAGAACCCCCAGAGCTCACTAACCCCTTGCACTATGTAAGGACACAGTGAGAAGTCACCAGCTACCAGGAAGAAAGTCCTCACCTGACCATGCTAGCATCTTGATCTTGGGCTTTCTAGCCTCCAGACCTGTGAGATATAAATTTCTGTTGATTATAAAATACCCAGTCTATGGTAATTTGTGAAGCAGCCCAAATGGACTAAGACTGAAGAAAGAATCTCTAAGCCTGAGGATATCTCAATGGAAACTTCCAAAACTGAAAAGCAAAGAAAAAAAAAAAAAAAGATGGGGAAAAAAATACAGAGCAGAATATCCAAAAACTATAGAACAACTACAAAAGATGGAACATATGCATAATGGGAATACCAGAAAGAGAAGAAAAAGGAAAGGAACAAAAGAAATATTTGAAACAATAATGACTAAGAATTTTCCCAAATTAATATCAGCCACCAAACCATAGATCCAGGAAGCTCAGAGAACATCAAGCAGGATAAATGCCAAAAAAGTTTATCTAGGCATATCATTTTCAAACTATAGAAAATATAAGAGGAAAGAGAAAATCCTGAAAGAAAACAGAGGAAAAACCATCTTACCTATAGATGGACAAACATAAAAATTACATCTGACTTCTCTTCATAAACCGTGCAAGCAAGAAGAGAGCAGACTAAAATATTTAAAATATTGAGAGGAAAAAGCCCACCAAACTAAAATTCTCTGCCCTGTAAAATTACCCTGTGAAAGTGAAGGAGAAATAGAGATTTCCCTAGACACACAAAAAATTGAAGGAATTTGTTGCCAGTATTCATAATTGATCCAAGAGATAGCAGTTTATTCAAAACAATAACAGCAACAATGTATTTGATTACATATGCTTAGGTACATATATGGACATATGTATGCTTATGTATAAGTGAAATGAGTAACAAAAATGATACAAGGAATGGGAGGGAGAAATTAAGATTAGTTTGTTAGTAACCTGTGAAGCAGTACAGTGTTATTTGAAAGTGGACTTGGATTAGTTGTAAACATATATTGCAAACTCTAAAGCAACCACTAAAAAAGTAAGAAAAAAAGAACTGATATGCTATGAAAGGAGAAAAAACTAAATCCCTAATTTAGGGATTGAGCATAAAATGCTCAATTAAAACTACAAAAGGCAGAAGAAGAATGGATGACAAAAATAGGAACAAAGAACAGGGCAAAAAAATAAAAAGTAGTAACAAATATCATAGATATTAATCCAAGTGTATCAGTAATCACTGAATGTCAATGGTCAAAATGCACCAATTTAAAGACAGGGATTGTCAGAGTGGATCAAAAAACAAGACACATAATCTTAAATATAAAACACATAAATTAAAACTAAGTGGACAGAGAAAGATGTATCATGTTAACACTAATCAAAAGAAAACAGATAAAAGCTATATTAATTTTAGGTGGGGCAGACTTTAAAGGCACAGACGTTACCAGGGATACAAAAGGGCATTACATAAATATAAAGGGGTCCATTCTCCAAGAAGACACAACAGTCTTTAACATGTATGTGCCCAACAGTTGACTGTCAAAATACATGAGGTACAAACTGATAGTACAACAAAGAATAGATAAATCTATTATAATTGGAGAATTCAATACCCGTCTATCAGAAATAGATAGATCCAGCTGGCAAAAAAATCAGTAAGGACATAGCTGATCTCAACAACACCTTCAAGTAACTGGATATAATCAGTATGGATAGACTACATTCAAAAATAGCAGAATACATATTCTTCTTAAACTTATGTGAAACATTCACCAAGATAAATCATAAAACACACCTTAACAAATTTAAAAGAATAGAAATCATACAATATCTGCTCTCAGACCAAAATGTAATTAAACTAGAAATTAATAACAGAAAGATACTTAGAAAATCCCAAAATACATGGGGATTAAACAACACACTTCTAAATAACCCATGGTTCAAAGAAGAAATCTCAAGAGAAGTTTAAAAGATTTTTGACATAAAAATGAAAAGGAAAAATGACTTATCAAAATTTGTGGGATGTAGCAAAAACAGTGTTTAGAAGGAAATTTATAGCATTGAATGTATATATTTAAAAAGGAGAAAGATCTAAAATCTAAGCTTCTACCTTAGGAAACTAGGAAAAGAGCAAATTAAAGCTAAACTGAGCAGAAGATAAGAAATAAACAAGAGCAGAAACCAGTGAAATTGAAAAAAGAAAATCAATAGAGAAAATCAACAAAACCAAAAGCTCGTTCTTTGTAAAGCTCAGTAAAATCAGTAAGCCTCTAACCAACCTACCTAAGAAAAAAAGAGAGGACACAAATTACTAACATCAGAAATGAAAGAGGGTACATTACTAAAGATCCCATGGGCATTTAAAGGATAATAAGGGAATACAATGAACAACTCTCAATGACTGCATCTTTGATAATTAGATGAAATGGGCCAATTCCTTAAAAGAGGACAATTTGCCAAAAATCACACAAGAAGAAA